CCTAAGAAACCCTCTCGGGTTTGCTACGGTTTACCCACCCTGCCGGCCGTCGGTGGGTAAATGACATAATTTCTTCAACAGTCCTATTGTCAAACGGAGACTCGCAATTTGAGAGAATTCAACGTGACTCGAGTTTTTATGGTTTGCTGTGCGGCCAGACACCTCGTCAAAATTTAGAGGGTGTGCAGCCTGTCATCCCTGCCAGCCTCCACGGGTAGCCTTTTTTCTTGACTGCTATTCGGTTGGATCTGTAGACTTTAACTTTTTAGGAAATCAAGGTGTTTTCCACTAAACCCCCCCAAAAAAAAGTTATTAAAAAAAAATGCAGGGGGGTCAACAGCAACCAAGCTTAAGCCTACAAAGACTTGACCAGCGCGACTGCGGGGATCAGCACCTCCCCCAACTTGTCCCGCTGGCACAACTTTGTTCAACACATCGCCTGCTTCACACTTCAGCATGCAGCTGAGGCATCAGCACCTCAGCCTGCAGTTCCCACACTTGTCCTTTGCGGCGCTGCTTGGGGGGTGTCAAAAAATCTGGAGACCGTTTTTGGACCACCTGTTTGATTGAGGGCACCAAGCGTCACCAAGGTGGCAACAGGTCCCTACCTTGGTGGCTCCCAGCCATCCGGTTCCTTGGCTTTGTAGTCTTTTTGTGTTTAGTGGCGGTTTCCATTTAACCCACTAAAGTAACTCACTAACAGTTATTCACTTTAGTGGTGGTTTCCTTATTTAACCCACAAGTTATTCCCTTCTAGCAGGGGATCTGAAAACGGGCAGGGGCAGCCCAGCTCTGTTTCGCTCGCCGCGCGAGCGAACGCCGAAGTCGAAGCTTCGCTGGTGCCCGGAGGACCCTCAGGACTTCGCGCGCAGCAAGCCGAGGCGAGACAACTCGGGGGCACATGGCTGTGGTTGTCAAAACCGTTTTGGGATCCCATTTTGGTTGGTAGGTGAATTCACTACCCATAGAACCTATTTTAGTGGATTGGTTGATGTTCACTGGGGGTACGATTTGGATTTTGACCCATGGCCACATGGCGAGCGCACGGTTTGCGGGAAAACAAACATCATCCTAAAAAACACTCTTCAGACCTGGGAACCCATATGGCTATGGATCAAATGTCCGTACCCCCAGTGAATATGGATCAAATTCGACCCCCAGTGAACATCCGATTCAATCCACTAAAATAGGTTCTATGGGTAGTGAATTCACCTACCCCAAAATGGTGCCATTGGTGTTGACCCACAGTATGAGCCACAATCAAGCCCGGGTATTTTAATTGGAGGGTACTAAGGGACAATCCCAGCCATAAATGGGTGAGGCCGCTATTTGAATTCTTTACATGGTTCTGGGCAGACCATTTTAACATCGGGTCTTGATTATGACTCATATGGCCGTCTTTTCTGGGCATACGGCCTTTGACCCCCAAAGAATGGTGCCGGTCTCGAGACCAAAGAGCCTTTCCTTCACAGCGGATGGACGACCCTGGCAAGCACCAAGGATTGTTGCAGATGTATTTTTTCAGGTGCGATTGAAAAACGAGAGGAGAGAGTCGGCGAATGTGGCGTACGTGCAATACCACATCGGGAATATATGCACTCCGACAATACAGGAGAAGAACCCAAATGATTTTCCAGCCAACTCCATTCCTGTTTGTTCTGACAACGCGTGTGTTGTTCCGGGATATGTACCCAAAAAAAAGGACACCAACAGTTCACACGCTGTACAAAACATGATTTTTGCGAGAGCTGCTGTTCCCCGATAGTACCATGAGATTTGAAAAGACACCCGGAAAGCGATGAAGTTATTTCAATCTTGCAACTCGTTCAAGAAGAGCCAACATGAGATTAAACAGGGACAAAGGTGTGTATCTGTCCTTCTATAGGGATAGCCAAAGCACCTCGCAGATGGTGCCCCAAGGAAAAGCGTAAATGATGCCGTCCACCTGGGGCACCGCTGGTTGCGCCAAAACAACAGTGAAGGCACTTGCTGGTTCTCAGCAGGCAATGAGGAAATGAACCCTGTATAAAAGAAGCCGTCCCTTGTGATTTCCTTTTAAGCATAAAACAAGCCGTCCCTTGTGATTTCCTTTTAAGGGAATACCAAAACGGTTCATTCCCACCTTCTCAGTTGTTCAGTGGCTCCCTTTTTCCCCTTTTTTGTTGGTGGCTGCCCCACTAAAATGGTCCAAGCCCAAAAAAGGGTTCCCTTTTTTTCCAGGGTCACTGAACAACTGAGCCTTGGTGGCAAGGTTAGTTATCCGGTTCCGGGGGTTGGGTCCATTTAACCCACCAAAAGTTGAACTGTTCGCAGGGGATCTGAAGACGGCCCCGGTTAGAAAGCGATCGCACGAACTAAGAATCAGAAGTCGATCGCAGGGCGAATGAAGCGATGGGACACAAATGTACCGAATTATTAGAAGAAGTCTCGGAAAAAAACTCGTTTTTCTGTGGCTCATTGTTGAAGACAGCGTAAGTTAAACCTAAATAACGCTAATCAACCATAAGGCCCCCGGGCCCATAGCTGCGTTTCCAACACAGGCGCCCGCGTGACATCCCCAACAGCCCCGAAACTCCCTGCAACCCTCATTTTCAAGCCTCGTTGCAAGCTGCCAAAAAAAACCACCCCGGAGCATTTGGACCTACCCCAGAGGTTTCAGCTGAGAAGAAGACATGGAGTATTTTGCCTTAGAAAACCCATCAAATTGGATACATGGTTTATCAACGATGAGCCACGTGCTCAGAATCCAGTGAAGGTTAGTAAGGGACGATCCCAGCCATAAATAGCGGTGGCCGCCTTAGTTCTTCACATGGTTCTGGGTCGACCATTTTTGTACCGGGATTTGAGCAAGTGACTCAGATCAAGGCCCAATGCAAACAAACTCAGCGAGCGACTCGCAGGCCAAAGGTGCCTGAGAAGCCTCCGCTGATGGACCGATTGCTCGGGGGCGGCGCGGGGGACGCCTTCCTGCAAACCCGGAGGCGGGAATTCTAGTGTCTCACAGTGGCACGCACAAAGTAGTTGCATTCTACAACAGGGTTGTGGGATCACTCGGGGTTTCTCCAACCACTTCTGTGATACAAGGGAATCTCCCTTTATATGAAGAAAATAGTCTTTGGGAAGCCCTTTCTGTTGTATCACAGAAGTGGTCATTCCCCACAGCCCTGTTCTATAACCTTACTTGCCCAAAGCGAATTGACCTTTTGACCTTTTAGTTTTCCTTTTTGTTGGTCTATTTTTAGTCATGACCCCACAAGGTTACCCTTTTATTTCCAGGTCCTTTGGGCAAGTGAGTAACTGGGCCCACTCCATGAATCTTCTCTTGGCTAAGTCAAAAACTGCCAAAAGTTGACACCACTGAAATGAAATGTTTGCGCCAAGTTTCAACCCCCGAAATAAGAAGGTCTCGAGCGGACATGTCGGAAAAAGGTCGTCTCGAGCGGAGAAATTTCGTGAGGTCCGCTGCGGAGGCGCAGCTCCTGGAGAGGCTCTGCGACTTTGTGCAGCAGGGCCGCCACACCGAGGCGCGAGCGCGGGGCGCTGTGGCCTGGAGAAACTCGGACCGGACCGGGGTCCCATTCGGATTCGGGATCCGAATCCGTTGAAACCCACAGGAAAAACGGAGCTGGTGATTGAAAAGAAGGATGGTTGGAAATGGGGAGTCAGCCCCTAGAAAATGGGTTGGTGGTTTTTCTGTTTGAGGTGAGCCACTTGCTCGAAACCGATTCGGGTAGATGAAAAAGTTGGCAAGGGACAAGCCCAGCCAGAAGTAGCTCGGCCGCCTTGTAGTTCTTTACATTGATTTGGGTAGACCATTTTACTACCAGGTTTTGATTGTGACTCAGGTGAAATTGGTGGAGCCCGTTGGTTTCAGTTGGACGCTCAGTTGCCCAGAAGCGAATGGCTGGGGCCGGCCAAAACTACGACGTATACTGCACGCGTTCTGATACATGGTTAGGAAGGCATGGTAACATGTTGCATCAAACGGTACCCACGTACACATGAGAGTCGTCCGAAAGGTCCTTGTATCACGCTATGAAGGGGAAGACCTTTTGGTCTCAGCATTCCGCGAGAGTTCCGCGAAGGGGATCGATCGCGAAGATTGATTTGTTGTTCGCGAAGGTTTTGTGTAAGGGTGGCTTGCTAACAGAAAGCTGGAATGATGAATGCGCGCAGAATGTCCGCAGACTAAAGTTGGTCGGGAAATGCGCGGCCTGAGGGTTGCCGCGAGAATACGCCGCTGCAAAAGCAACCCACAGCCAGCAGAAACCAGCTTGTGGGAGATGTGATGCTTTCGGGTCAAATTGAGTGCAACTTTCCAGCCGAATTTTCGCGAATGTTTGGCGTAAGATCCGCGACAGTTTCGCGAAAGTCGACGGACCTCCGCGCAAGTTTTCGGACATGAGCCCAACGGGCCCTCTCGCGCGATGCTGCCGCAAGGCTTGTGAGCTGGAGCTTCGCGTGCTACTTTTGATTTGAAAGGTTGCGACTTTTTCGAGCTGAAGCTGCGGAAGTTTACTTCTTGTGCTACTTTCGCATCGAAAAGTTGCGACTTTGAAGCTGGAGCTGCGGAAGTTTACTTCTTGTACTACTTTCGCATCGAAAAGTTGCGACTTTGAAGCTGGAGCTGCGGAAGTTTACTTCTTGTACTACTTTCGCATCGAAAAGTTGCGACTTTGAAGCTGGAGCTGCGGAAGTTTACTTCGTGCACTCTTTCGTACTGAAAAGTGTTGACTTTCGAGGCGAGGCTGCGGAATTTTAGTTCGTGTACTTTCGTATTCAAGCTTGGCTGCGGAAGTGTACTTTTCGTACTACTTTCGTATTGAGAAGCTGCGGCTTTCGAGGCTGCGAAAGTGCACTTCGTGTACTACTTGTGTGATGAATGTTCTGAAAACAGTTCGCGAAAGTTCCGCTACGGGGCCCGCGAAAGTTAGTTTTTTTTTTCTCGCGAAGATGGCGGTTTCCGGAACGAGGAATTTCAGACAACCGTCACATGGCGACTCGTTCCGAGTTGATGAAATCAAGCAATCGGATTGGGCATAACATGTGGAGTATTTTGTCGAGGCACATGTTCAACGGGTACTACGCTACAGATGAAACAGGAGATCACCGTCGAAATAGCATGACATCACGCCCGCATGTCACGCATCCAATCACATTGGGTTTACATCATGATAGAATGGGCTGGCGTTCCAGAAACTTCTGAGACCTAGCAGGAGAGACACTCTTGGCATTCGACGCAACGGTACCCAAGGGTGGAATCCCATTGAGAGTTTTCAAAGATTGTATCAGTGCTTCACTTCCATTTGCCTTCGAGATGTTTGGCTATTTTCCCTTGTTGGTTTTAACGGGAATCCATCACTTCTGGAAGCACGTTTATTCTTCCCAGGGGCTGCGTCCACAAATGGAAGAAAGCACGTTGCGGCAGAGCGTGCAGATCAAGCCCACCGTGGCAACAACCGCAAAGATCGGGAAGCAGGAGCTGTTGGCAGGCGACGATGTTGACACAGTGCATCATTCCCGCACACCCACCGCACGCGCACGCACGCGCACGCGCACACACACACACAGGTTAGTAAGGGGCAATCTCAGCCGGAATTAGGTGCGGCCGCCTTCTTAGTTCTTTACATGGTTCCGGGTATACCATTTGAATACCAGGTTTTGATTGTGACTCACTTTGTTTTAGGCAGTTGTTTTTTTGCTGGGACGCTAGCTGGTTGGATTCGCAATGTTCACTTTCTGTTGGACACCAACAGTGGCATGTGTTTTGCTGGAATCTGCCAGCAGACAAATCATCTGATCTGGGAAATTTGGAGACACCAAAATGTCCCAAAGATCGAGGGCCCCTGAGATACGGTGCCTGCGGGTTTTCCTTGTACCAAACTCGAGGAAACGGTTTGGATTCGCGTTTTCGGTGGAAATCACCTGTTCTTCAACCCTGTTGGTCCTTTTTTAGTAATCTTTTAGTACTCTTTGAATATCCTACAGGGGTGGATCCACGGATTCGCCACATCCAAACGGTTTTCCAAACATGCAGGGTGAATGGGCTTCGCATCCGGGAAAAAGAAAAGTCCAGGCCAGCTGCAGGCGGGGGGAAAAGAGAGGGGGGATGAATGGAAGCCATGGGAGCGAGCCAAAAGGTTCCATTTGCTTCCCACTTGCCGGTGATTGCTCCAAGCAGACGAAACTCGATTTTTTACCAAAAGAAACCAACCGGGACCAATGAACATATGAGTCAATGATAGCTTTGTTCAAGAAGAAAAAACCTCGTTTGGGACGTGTTCTTTTGTGACCCCTTTGTAGGTGGGGAAGCTCGTTTGGGACACTGCGTTTTCCAGATTGGGACCCTTTCATTTTGAACATGTCCTAGATTGTCCACTCGCATGGCCGAGGAACGGCAAGCATTGACAGTTGCTTTTGTCTACCCGTGCAAGCGTCAAACCATATCACCCCTGCCAGAGAACTCCCAAAGTTGGAAAAATTCCAAGGCGCAGCCCCTCACCGGGTTAAATCCATTGTAATGCGCTAAACAACATAAATTTCATGTTTGTTTTACGATAATGACTTCATGTTTTTTCGGCTTCATTGCACACACAAAACAACATATCATGTCTGTGTTACGATCGTGACGGCATGTGTTTGCTTTCCGGTTTCACTGCTACAAACAACTTCGCAGATGTCGGCCCCTTATCTTCATGGACTGCATCCGCTGCTTGGGGCCGATCCTTCGAAAGATTCCGAGGGAATCTCCGCTCCGAGGAGTGGCGGAGAAAATGAGTTGGATGCCTATCCCAAAGGGAATCCCTATCAAAAAGGGAATCCCTTTCTGGAATATGTGCTTTTGCAGCCAATTGTTACTTTGAGGGCATTTTCAAACTGGCTGAAACATCCGATTGCTACAAAAACTTTGAGTTGTACCCGCCACACTCACTATTGTAGTCGGTCTAATTGATATGTTTGCAGAAGCTGCCGGTGGGCATGGGAAAATGTTGACGTTCTTTTTGGCTTGGGATGTTGAGTCCACCATGTCCCAAGTTGACCAAGTTCGGCCGAACTTCTGAGACTGACGAGACAATGCTCACTGCGCCGGACGCGCCTTCCATCCCAGGGATGGCAAGCTGCAGTTCGACTTTTGCCTCTGGAAAGACTTCGTGCGGCGCGCGCACAAGGCGCCATGGCAACCCCTCGGGGCTCAAGACGACAGAAAGGAGTAGCCAGATATGGCCCAACATGTGTAGCTTTGATGGTTTTAGGTCTTAGGGTTTTGTAACCTGAGGTGTTCGGTTTGGGTAACCTGATAGGTGTTGGGGTTGAGAAACCTAAAGTCTGGCTGCTTTCAGGCGTACGATAGGCCCTGCGATGGGGCCTCTCAAGTGGTGCTTTATAAAGTATATCACGCACACGGGCCAAACATAATGTTCCGAACATGGCGGCGTCAACTGTTTCGGAGTTGCTGGCAGGTTGTCAAAAGATCGGAATTCCCATGGAGCTCCATTAGAATTGTGGCTGGAGTTGCGTTTGAATATCGGAGTTCTGAGTTGCACTTGTCTGAGCTGCGCAACCCTGTTTGCAGCAGTGGGCGACGTTCACCTGTTGGAAGGCTATTGTTGATTAAGTTTTTTCCGGTGCCAGTTGCAGAGGTCATATAAGAAACTAGCAACACCTAAAGAATGACTCAAATTTAGTATTAAGGGGGCTTTGTGCTTTTCTCAACCATCCCTTGTGGTTTCCTTAAAGGGAATCCCCTTCCGGTTCCATTCTCAACACCCGGAAGGTCATTCCCTACCTATCGCGCCAGCAAGAGAAATGTGCCTAAAGTTCGTCCGTCTCAGGGTTTTAAAGGATGTGTCCACACCTGGATGCATCTGCCCGGTGTTGGGTACAGATGGCACAGCGGGAACGGATCGCTATCTGGAGGCCTCCATGATCAGGGCCAGCTTTGCGTTTTGAGCATCAAAGAGGGGGTTTCCAATGTTCAAAGGGAGGCTTTTGGGCTTCTCCGATCGCGCAGGTGAAACAGCGCGACCCAAAGGCCGGTCTCTGATTCGAAAAGTGGAGCGCCGGATTTGGGGCAAAGTGGGGGTCTCCAAGGCTTTGGTGCATTGGAGCAACCCGGACGCAAGATAGAAGTGCAAGCGAAGTTGGTTGGGGGAAAGGCTGTTTGGCCACGCCAGGTGTAAGACATGCAAGCTTTCTGGGTTTCAAGCTCCGTTCAGAAGGCGTGAAGAGGCAAGTGAAACAAGCGCAAGGTTCCACTTGGAAAGTCTCTTGCGCCTTCACCTGAACAGATACAGGACCTCAGACCTTGGTAGTTCCCAGCCGTGTCTTGGGGTGTTTTCCGTTTTTAGTGAGGCGGGTTTTTATGTATCCCGCTAAAAGTGAAACTGTTCGGGGATCTGAAAATGGACAGCCCGGAAACCGTACTTTTCCAGCCTTGTACCCGCCAAAGAAAGGATGAGAAAAAAAATGTTCCGAGTTCATGGTCAAAGGTGCGGTAAGAAGTGTGCATGCCAGCAGGATACATGGTTTTGGAAAGCTTGGTTTGATTTCCGTGACTTCAAGTTGATTTTTTTCGAGGTGGGGAAGTAGGATTGTCCGCCAGCAGGGCAGGAGAATTAGCACAGATTGCCCCTGTGGTTGGATGGTTGAACTGAGTTTGGAGGGAGGGAGAGAAAGAGAAAGAGAGAGAGAAAGAGAAAGAGAAAGAGGGAAGGAGGGAGAGTGCCATAGCTGAATCCCCTTGAGTTCTCAATTCGGCATTCATGCCCGACATAGAGCCGCTCTGACATAGAGCTGCTTCGCGCTGGCTCGCTGCAGCATCTTTGCCTCTTCGCTCCTTCGCCCTTGTTCGACGCCATGGCTGAGCAGCCGAAGAAGCCAGCGGGCGGTGCCTACGGACAGCTTCCTGGCATTCATAAACGGCCATGCCCGCGTATTGTTAACCCCGGATTAATACACCCCTGGTGAATTAATAGGGGTGTGTGTGTGCCCTTTTAGTGGGGATTCAGACCAGTTTTGGGGGGAACACCCCCTCTAATAATCGGACGGGTTGGTTAATCCTGGGTCAACATTGTCTTGGGTAAGGGAAAAAAGACTGGAGCCGTCCCAATCACAAGTGCTTGGTCTTGAGCTATGACTTATTCTAGTCAGTAGGGCTTGGTGGTGCCGCAGGTGTTTCTTCACCCAGGATTCAGAGAGCTTGGCTGCTGTTTCTGAGGCCAACCTGCTGAAAGGATCCTGAAGAGGGCTGAAAGCCTGAATTTCGAATCAAGCCCTGCACCATAGACGTGGGTGCTTTCGTTGAAGGGAGACCCCAAAGCCGGGCGTTCTTTTGGGTTGCCCTTTTGCAAACAAGTCTAAGATGGGAGTCCCTGGCCGCAACGGACTTGTGGAATCATTGTGGAACCACATCTAGGTCCCCCAGAGAATCGGGTCCCCAACATTGGCCCCAATCAGAATAGGGTTCTGTCAATCAACCAAACAACGATGCCCGTTTTTTTTCCCCATGGAAATCCGCTGGGCATCTGACTTCGTCTTTCCGCCAAGGTTCTTGGCGGAGAAGCGCCCAGAGCTGTCGAAGGAGACCAAGGGACAGCCCATCACGGCCGTCACCAAGCTGGCCGGGGAACGCTTCAAGGCGCTCAGCGAGGAGGCGCGGTGCCGGTCGTTTCCTTTTCGCATGCGGAAAGGTTAAGTGGCGGGGGCGCAAATAAATGTACCAAAATGGCACCCTTGGCAAATGGAACCAAAGACTAAAAGCTGCATAAACCTAGCTCTTTAATTTTGAGCCACACTCAAGTGAGTCATAATCAGAAGAATGGTCCTGTTGAAGGAAAATTGTCTGCCAGACCCCTCAGTCAAGTTCCATGTTAGTGGACAGGGTATTGCAATGGTCTGAACAAACTTCCAGAATTAAGCAGGCGGCATTCCGCACCCATGTGTGGCAAGGGGAGTACTTGCAAACGTTCATCTATGCCCAAATCGGTTTTGAGGAAGTGACTCAAGTCACTGGCCGGTTGGCCATCCAAGTGCAACTTGAGTGGCGGCGTTGATATGATAAAAAGGCAAAAGTTGAGTGGTACAATAACTAGGTCCCCCAGTAGTGCCCTTTTACCCATT